CTTCCGCGCCTATCATGAATGACTCGCGGGGTTGTCCTTCGCTGGACACTGTATTGTCCGATGCGACAGCAGAGCAGGAATCCGATTCTTCATCTTCCGAAGGCAATCTTATCCGAACCCTACCATAAGTTCCTCGTGCGATGGCTCCGGACTGCAGACGGGTTACACGCCGGGACGCTTCCAGAAACGATTTGAGATCAATCTGTGTCGATGTCTCTTTGCTGGTCATGTTGGCGGTGACCTTCGGAAATTCTCCATCCTTAACCACTGTTCTTCTTTGCCGGAAGCGCCTATGCCTTGGTTTTGGCGTTTCGGTGCCGAGCCTTTCGAACACTGAAATTCTCTCGGGGACTCCCTTGATGCAGTTGCATTGAGACAGTACTACCCGAATGAGCTTGGCACATGGGCACTGAGTTTCGAGCCCTTGAGGGCTTCTTTTTCTTGTTTTGTTCGTACCCCCAGCACGATAGTACAACTCGTCCATTTGATCGGAGTAACCTATCGCGTGTTGGCATGATTTCCCAGGTATAACGTTATCATCCTCGGATGACAACGTTTCCTTCTGAGAGCAAACTGCCTTATTTGGACTTCCGAGAGTCACTCGCCTCGAAACACGCCTTTGTAGACATGAATTCTCAGCGGGCTCCCGAACTTCGATGCGCAAGGTAGTGCGCTTGGGTGCCGTAAACTCTTTGTCATGTTGAGGGTTGTGTCGACCCCCAGCATGTTGATTAGTTCGGAGCCTCTTCATCGGGCCCGAGCGTTCATGGACTTCGTTGCGCTCGTCGGGAATTGGACCGAGGCGCTCCAAGATTGACCTCCTTCCTCGGGATGGTTCGGGAGGTTGAACTCGTTTTGAAGGCTGTAAAGGTCGATCCTCGGCCTGACTCACCACTTTGGACTTTGGCCTCCATATTTTGTGAGTTAGTGGTGATTTCTTGGCTACTCCATTCTGCCACCTTCTACGGGCTTCTTGAACTTGAGCTCGTGCTTGTGCTGAGAGTGCGCGGCGCTTCTGAATGCGATCCTCCAGCGTTGAACGGTTCCGTTTGACACGGATCCATTCGTTCGTTGGTGGCTTGGAGGAGTTGCCATTCATTGGTTGTTGAGGTCGTTCGCCTCTTCTGTTCTTCAGATCCGTGTTGTAACGGATCCCGTCCACAGATTCCATTGCCTTTGCGATTTGTTTCGCAAGGCGCTGACGTTGCCTTTGGCGGGCTCTCTTTGAGAGAGTCACTACGCCCTCGGCAACGGAAGATTCGGCCAGAGCAGATCTGACCTGGTTGGAAGGAGAGATCTCACCCGATGCAGCTTCGGCATCAAACGGGGCGAGATCTTCGTTGGCAGCTTCAACTTCTTCGTACCAACGAAGTTTTCTCTTGGAAGAGAGCTTTGGAGACTTGGACTTGCGAGGGGAGGTGGATTCGGACGAGGATGACAGATACTCCTCGAACTTTTGTTGGTCGAATTCGTACTCGACCTCCTCCTCGACCGGGATCGGGATCCGCGGCTGCGACGCGACAGCTTCGGCAGTAAAGCTGTTGGCTCCCACTGTGGTCGCCAGATTGTTCGCGGGAAAAATCGTAGCTTTCTTCATTGTTGATATCATTGCTATCTCAGTTAACAACTTTATGCGTTACAAAGATCCGGTCTTTTTATAAGATCCGGTTACAATGAAAAATCAAAGAAAACAAAGTAAAGATTACAATTTTCCTTATTTGTCGAACTAATCGCGAGCTCCTGTTTTGCGGTCGCTCGCTTTGGTGGGTTCTTTGCCTGCGCCGGGGTTATTTGCCGTGGACCACCGCGTGATCTCGATCCGGTCGGATCTACACGATATGACGGGTAATATTCCACCAAGGGAATAATAGCCGGGAGGGATTGTTTCACCAAGGAAACAACCGCTCGAATCTCGGGATCTAAGAACCAAGCTTAGATCCGGAGTGTGATCGTGTAGATCTCAAATCCAATCCTCTCGAACTCCTGCCTTATTTGGCGTTGGTGATCGCCGAGCACCGGATCTGAAAGTCCAAGTCTCCAAGCCTTCAAAGTTGTGATCTTTTTTAGATCTGAGTCTTCAATCCAGCAGGGCTTCGCCTCTCTCCAAAATTTCCAACCTCTGAAACAAATGAGCACAAGGCCTATTTATAGGCACTCAGAACTGTGCATTTGCACAGTTCTGAGCCTAGCCACCCATGGGTGGCTCGGCCTTGGCCGAGCCACCTCAGGGTGGCTCGGCCTTGGCCGAGCCACCCTGGGGTGGCTCGGCTTTGGCCGAGCCACCTCAGGGTGGCTCGGCCTTGGCCGAGCCACCCTGGGGTGGCTCGGCCACCGAGCCACCTCAGGGTGGCTCGGCTTGGGCCGAGCCACCCTGGGGTGGTTCGGTTTCGGCCGAGTCCCCGGGTGTTTGTCCGTTTCGTCCTTTGTTTCCGGTTCTGGTTCTCTTGTGTGGTTGATTGACTTGGCAACGACTTGTTGACTTGATTCCAGATATGGCAGTGAGTCGGGTTCCTGATATGGCAGTAAACCAACTTCTGAATTTGAGTCCGGAATTGATGTTGATTTGATCGTGATTCATCCGAGTTCGCTCTTGTTTAGATGACTCGGTGATTCACCTAAACATTGGTTTGATTCCGCGTGCGAGTGGATGCATTCCAATGCTTGGGTGCGATTTGTCGCCTCGTTAACCTGCTCCGTTGCGTATAGCTTGGCTTCAAGTTTCCTTTCCAGCTGAAGATAGAATATAAAATTCTTCCTCTTTAGCACCGGGAGATAGAATATAAAATTCTTCCTCTCCTCGGACCTTTCCGATGCTCGGAGTGGAGATCCCACTCCCAGTTCATCCTTTCCGATGCTCGGAGTGGAAATCCCACTCCCAGTTCATCCTTTCCGATGCTCGGAGTGGAGATCCCACTCCCAGTTCATCCTTCCAGATACTGGGGGTGGAGAATCCCACCTCGAGTTTCTTTTCCAGCTGAAGATAGAATATAAAATTCTTCCTCTTCAGCACCGGGAGATAGAATATAAAATTCTTCCTCTCCTCGGACCTTCCCGATGCTCGGAGTGGAGATCCCACTCCCAGTTCATCATTCCGGATGCTCGGAGTGGAGATCCCACTCCCAGTTCATCCTTCCGGATGCTCGGAGTGGAGATCCCACTCCCAGTTCATCATTCCGGATGCTCGGAGTGGAGATCCCACTCCCAGTTCATCCTTCCAGATACTGGGGGTGGAGAATCCCACCTCGAGTTTCTTTTCCAGCTGAAGATAGAATATAAAATTCTTCCTCTTTAGCACCGGGAGATAGAATATAAAATTCTTCCTCTCCTCGGACCTTTCCGATGCTCGGAGTGGAGATCCCACTCCCAGTTCATCATTCCGGATGCTCGGAGTGGAGATCCCACTCCCAGTTCATCCTTCCAGATTCTGGGGGTGGGGATCCCACCTCGAGTTTCCTTTCCAGCGGGAGATAGAATATAAAATTCTTCCTCTCCTATTTGACACAACTTTCAACTTCCAATTCGCGCACTTGGTGCATGGGGAATTTTATCCCAAATCCTAAGTAGGGATAGGTCAACTCCTAACACGTATTTCCGGGTAGCCTATTCCCGTGACAAGGGCAAAGTCTACGTATTCAAAGTCGTAGCATTAAGTCTAAGGGAGTTCATTCCTTTAGCACAACGTTACATGCGGAACGGATTTCGACAATCCGCATGCTAGCCCGATTCAAACGGTAATCGGTAAAGGTACATCAAACCCGTTGAAGGCTGGGGGTTTGCCAAAAATCCCAAAGTCAACGCCTAACACGCGTTGCCGGCTTAGTCTTTCACCAATTGAAAAAGACACCAGGATCTAAACCTGGGGAATTTCATCCCGAAGCCTAAATAGGGATAAGTCAACGCCTAACACGCGTTGCCGGGTAGTCTATTCCCGTGAGAAAGACGAAGCCTATGTATTCAAAATCGTAGCACAAAGCCTCAGAGAGTTTACTCTCTTAGCACAACGTTACGTGTGGAACGGATCTAGACAATCCACATGCTAGCCCGATTCAAACGGTAATCGGTAAAGGCACATCAAACCCGTTGATGGCTGGGGGTTTGCCAAAAATCCCATAAATCTGTCATTTGAAAAAAAATATATATATAATACAGAGAAATCACAAAAGAAGTAAATGTGGAGTTTCCATTGATAGACTGAGTTAAAAGCATACAACAAAAAGCTCGTTAGCCCGAAGGCATCTGACGCTATCCATCCTCGCCATGTTAGCCATTAGATGCGCAAGGGAGCTCTCGCGTGACTGAAGCTCACGCCCGACGGAAGATCTCAGTTCACGCCACTGCTCCATCCTATGCTCTAACTCAGAGGATACGAAAGAAGAAGCCCCGGTAACCTCCAATTCCTTCAACTCTCGTATCTCTGACTCCAGGGCGGCGAAATCAGCAGTGAAGGAATCAGCCAATTCTGGGTATCCTTCCTCCCTCATCATCGTCATATGGCGAGAGAAGGAACGCCGGAACTGATCGAAGCCGCCTCCTCGGTGAAGAAGCTTCTCGATCAAGCCATTATAGAAGGCGGGGAAGAAACTGAGGTCCGTACGGAAAGCCTCTCTGTCAGGATCGGTATCGACCAAAAGGCTACGGACACGCTCATATAGGGAAGATCGAGATCCTACAAGCAGAAACATAGGAGCTCAGTGGATTATCGAATATGAAAAGGAAAGTCAAAAGGCAAGTTCTGAACATACCGACACCAACAGACGTCCCCTCGGGTTGAGGTCCGACAGGCTCTGGGACAGCGGCAGAAGAGGGTACGTCAGCCCCTGCAGGCGGATTGCTCGCACCACTCGGCAAAGACGGAGAGGCACCACTGCTATGAAGACTTTCAGCCCCGGGAACTGTAGTAGTATCAGGCCCAACACCTGGTCCTACAGTGACACTCCTATGTTAACCAAATGGAAATTTGGATAAGTAAGGAGAATCGGGATAAGAAAATCGTATGCATACCTGCAATCCCCCCGTCCTCAGATGCAGCCAGGATGCCAAGAGTCATGAGAGTATCGGCCCAAGCGGCTGGTCCTATAATGGCATTCTCTTATTAGTCAAAAAAAAAGAATTAGACGAATAAGAAGGATTGGGATAGTACAGTCATCTGCATACCTGCAGATCCATCATCCGTAGGCATTTGAGGGATGCCAGGAGTCATATGAGAATCAGTCTTAGTGGCTGGTCCTATGATTGCACTCATATATTAGTCAAAAGACGGATGAACATAAGAAAGTACGATATCCCTAAATCGTATGCATACCTGCAAGCCCGTCACTCTGAGGCAAACTGGATATGCCAGGGATAGATACCGGGCTAACTCCAATGGTTGACGCTGCGATAATCAATCATTCATTAGTCAAATAAAAGATCGGGCAAGAGGAGGAGAATCAGATATGTACCGGTAGATGAATCATTCCCAAAGAATGGTCTCTCGATCCCTCTGGAAGTCTGCTCAGCCAACATGTCAGCTAATAAGTCGGCATCCGGCTTCGAGAAGCTTGGCCCCTCCATCGCAACATCTGCAGGGTAACCTGAATGTTGAAAGA